TAATTGAATCCTTATTTTCACACGATTTTAGAGGTTTTATAAGTACAGTTCATTGTGTAGAACTTGTATTTTTAATTACTCTACATAATATGCAATATGTCACATTTATTGTTTTTTTCATGACATACCGGGTCAAACACATTTAAGAAAAACATGAAAGACTCACTTAACTGCATTTGTCATGAAAGAATTAACTCAACTACAGTATTTATTGAATATAAAAACATGTTATATTATCAAATAATATTACTTTAAGATGATAAGTGATATTATATCAACTTTTGAGAGTAAATTTATCGTTAGGCCTATTTTTTTTACTATGATGGCAGAGGCATAGAATAGAATACAGAAGCACGTATACTCAATATAGCACCCTGTTTATGATTGTCTAATCTAGGCCTATGATTGTTAGGTTTCAAATATTTTGAAGATTGCAGATAATTACATTTAAATGTGATTATATTTTAAATTGAAATTGAAAAAAATGATTTCCAATTGTATTTCTTGGTATTTCTGCCATTATTTTCGGACAATGCTCTCTTTATTTGTCTTCAAGAAATTCTCTGTTTAATCCTCTTATCATTTTTTAAAAACAGTTTTCTATAGTTTCATTTTTTAGAAATTTATTTTGTTTTTCATATAAAGTTAAATATCAAACAGAAGAACAATATATGTTGAACTGTATGCAATAAATATAATAATAATAATAATAATAATAATAATAATAATAATAATAATAATAATAATAATAATAATAATAATAATAATAATAATAATAATAATAATAATAAATTATTAATAGGATAATAATAAGTAGGTTAATAAATTAAATTAATAATAATAAGCTAAATACTGTATAAATAATAATATCATATGTATGAAAAAACAAAACAATAGTACTCACACTACGTTTAAGTTTTACACAAATGAAAAATTCCATACAAATTATATTTGGATCCAAATTAATTTATTTCAAAAAAATAATAATAATATCATAGGTAATAAATAGTGCATTATAATAATCTATCAGAGCGATATTAGACAATAAATGTATTAAATAAAAAAAGACAAATTAAATAAGAAAATATGCTTTTTTATGTGGCCCCCTAAAAAACGTCAAGAACATGCCTCCTGTATACTTATTGGGAGCTGCTTCCATAATGATCCCCTCCCAGAAGTAACATCAATATCCATATTTTGCTAGTAGGACTAATGCCAAAAAAAAATATAAGATAATGTTTCCTTAATACCAATATTGTGCACCAATGAAGATATTGTTTATAATGATTTCATTCTGAAAGTAATGTCATATACATTAAACAATCGTCTTTCTCAATGATAAACAGTATACAGCACTATGCAGTTGAGTGGATTTCTCATGATAAACTATTACATAATAGGTATTAAATGCCAGTTAAGTGAAGTCTTTCATAACATTTGCAGTTGAGTGCGTCTTTGCTGACAAAAGTAACACAGACTTGCAGTTGAGTGATTTTTTATTTTTTAAATTTCATATTTTCCGTTATAATTTCAAAAATCTGAATACATCACAAGGTG